GAGCACTCGAGATAAAAGGATCGGTAAGTCCGTGTGCGGCTTCGGCATTACAGCGAGATATGCAGGTCCCAACCTTGGCCAGCTGTTTTCGCGTTGCCTTGAAGAGGTGAACATGTTTGACACAGACACTGTGGCCATGCTGGTGAACGAGCGAGAGTCTGGGGTTGGACGCCACCGCAGCCTGAAAGAGCTTTGCAAGCGCTTCCTCCAGATGGATTTAGTAACTTAGCTTGATTGGATAACAAAGAGTGATTAGACTTGATGTCTCTCGTCAAATCGTGACCTTTCAGGCTCAAGGCAGCCCAGCACTCCGTCTCACTTCTTTTCCTTCCCCCTGTGGTGTTGGCATTGAGCCGTAGGACTGAGAACGTTGAGCCAAGGATAAGACTCACCAGCGTTCCGACTGGCGGTTGAGGCCTCTTCCCGAGGAGATGTGGGCCGTCGCTTTAGGCCGACTTAGGCATCGAAGCTTCACAGGAGATGCTTGCCTATGCCGCACGTGACGCAGAAGTCTGCGGCCTACTGCTCAGCGAAGGCGGAGGCATCTACGGAAGCAGTTAGACCCGGGGCTTGCAAGCAGGTGCTGCTGCCCTTGGCCACGCATCTTGCCAGCATGGCAGACGACAAAATGCTGTTGAAGGTCGGGTCGGGCAGCCAGTTCCAACAGCAGGTCTTGCTGATGGTTTGCAGAATGCAGTCTGCCTAGAGCTGCATGAATGACTTGGGATGATGTTGTAATCGGAGAATCGCCAGCCCCTCATTCGCCCGCTTCGCTGAACGGGCAGGAGTCTTTGCAGGCATGCCGCAGGCAGACGCAGCAGGCGCAGGCCTGGCCTGAGCATGCCTGAGCTGTCAGTGGTGTCGTAGCTGTCGCTGTCGGTGAGCTAAGGACGCATCTGGCAACGGGATACGAGTCGAACTTCTTGGAACAGAGCAACTCTGCAGATGATCGGCCACGGAGATCTCGCGACTCCATCCAAGGGAAGAGGAGTCATCGCCTACATGAGGCAGACCACAAGACGAACACTAGCAGTTGCAGGAGCCAGCTTTATGCCAGACTGTTGAGATTGGATGCCAGAGCTGGATTGCAAGTCGCTCTCCGAATCTGCACGGACTGCGTGAATCGTATTTCATGGCCACCCAGATCGCGTGTTGTGGGATTGGCAAGTCTTGGCTTGCCTCAGAGCACTGGGGCGGCTGCCATCAACGCGAGCGACATGGCCATGACGATGAGTTTCTCCCGGAATTGCAGTCGGCAGCTGCTGTGAGCATACCTCTCGACATGCGAGTCACGACGGCCTTGAGGCGTTGGCCCCATCTCCTGGAAACCTCCTCCACGAAAAGAGTGGAGCACACCTTCTACAAACCAGGGTGGGGCAGAAGGAATCTACGAATGTGCCCCGAAGGGCCGAATGGCCAAGTGCTGCAAAGGCGGAGCAGTTCGACTGATAACATGTACTTTGCTGCCACTGGTTGCCTCTTCATTCCGTGGATGCTTGTGTTTCTAGGCCCGAGCAGCGTGACTCAATTGTGCAGCGGCAGCAAGACTAAATTAGTTGCCCTGTTTTCAGCTTCAGTCCGGACTAGTGACTAGTGGCCAGAGTCGACAATAAGCACTACGTGACTGCGCGAGAGCCTGGCCATGCAAGCCGCTGTCGGTGACAGAGTTCGCTTGCGAAACTATCGCTACAAGGTTGGACTCCATGGCAGCGCATGCTCTGCGCAGCTTACACAAATGTCGCGCGAGTCTAGTGATAGCACATTCGTTTTGAGGCAGAAGGGACCGTCCGTTTCCTGGGCGACCTTCCAGGAGAAGGCTTTTAGTGCGTGGGGGTCCCGCAGTAGCGGAGTTTCCTTCGATTTTTCTGCTGTGCCAGGGAGCTTAGCCGGTGTTGAGCTTGACTTACCTATCGGGAAGAACGATGGCGATGCTTGGACGGCAGAGACAGGCGTCAAGCTTGAGCACGACATGATCAAGAGGCCTTGAGAGTTGTTTTGCCGCTTCGACATTGACGCATTCAGCAGCGGTTCAGGAACGCGATGGAGTGAGATATTTCACCTGCCAGCCAGGCAAGACAAAAAAGGGGAATGCTCAGAGGGCCGAGCAACTCGCAGCTCTCTGCAGGTCATGGAATTTTCATTCGGCAAGACTGGCTGATCAAGTTGGGTGAGGAGGCCTTCACATGCCTAGAAACAAGAGACCCTGACCTCAAGTGTGTGACAATCTCCTTAGCCTTTCCAGGTCTCCGTCTCGGCCCGCTGTTGTTTTTTTTTGTGTGCGGTGCACCGGAAGGAAAGCCAGGGCACTGCTCGCCGGCTCCAGCGGAGCAAGGCCGGGAGCAGCAAAGTGTGGAGTTTAGGGCAATATCTCGCTGCCAGACCGATGGCGTGATGGAGTGCCTCGGATGATTTCCGGGGGGATCTCTGCGAAGTTCCAGCACGTGAGATGCGCATTCAGGACTGATGCAGCCATCGCAGAGCTGCAGAGGGCGCTGAGTGAGGTGCAAGGAAGAGTGTCTGTCAGAAGCTCATCTCAGCGTCCTTTCTTGGCCGAGGTGAATGCACGCATCGGGGTTGTCGAGTCCGACCAGAGCAAGTCTCCTGGACATGGAAAGCTTCACGAGCTGGAGATGCGTGTTGAAAGTCTTGAGGCAAGCAAGAGGTTGGGCCAGGGCCAGGGCCAGGACAGAACTTTCAAAGATGCGATATCGCAGAATCACGAGATGGAAGCTTCAGCAACGGGCGCCGCTCTGCCGACAAACCTACCGGACAGAGACACTTTCAAAGATGGGTTGTCGCAGAACGAGATGGAAGCTTCGGCCACGGGCGCTGCTCTTGTCCACAGTGAGGATCGCATCACCCAGCGACAGGTGCAACTTCTGCAGGATGCTGATGCTCGAAATGTGGATAAGGTTGGGGTTCCTACCGGCCGTGAAAGCAAACATCACCAAGCAGAGCAAAGCGTGTGTGGAGCTTACGAGGATGTGGACAGGAGAAAGCGTCCGCTCATGCATGACGACGTGCAAGCTTCGCAGCAGAGGCTGCAAGTCTCTCACGCTGACATTGGAGACAGCATGAAGTCTATTGGCAGATTGGAAAGAAGCATTTCGAGCTTGAACAGGCAACACACCGGGCTTACTGGAGAGATGTGGTCCATGAAGGAGACTGTGAGGAAGCTGCAGGCCCACATCCAAGATCTATCCGACAAGTACGAAGCTACACAGCAAAGCCCCTCGAAGCTCCAACGACAGATGAATGAGAGCTTGGCCACTTCCCTTCAGAGGGAGAATGCAACCCAAGAGCGTTTGCTAGAAGCTGAGGCATCGCAGAAGCAGGTTCTTGAGGCCGCCACAGAGGCGCAGAAAGTCGTCCTTTCATTGACTCGTCGGGTTGGAGCAGTGGAGGTGACTCACATGAATGCTGAACGCGCTGCAGTAGTGGCAGCAACTGAAACACGACAACTGCGGGAGCAGATTATGCTGGGAGACATGTTGGGCCCAAGCCCGAAAGAGTATCAAGATCACCAGGAGGGACCTGGCCCTGGCAGTCAAGTGAGGAGCAAATCTATCGACTCTGCACTGAGTCACCATGGCACAGCACACGACTCGTGCTTGCCATCTAGCGCCATGAGGTCGGAAGTTCGCTCCAGGGCCGGAGGGCGTTCCTTCTTGAACTGGCCATGGAAACCCTAGCCGCCGTACCTTTCGCGCAGAGTGGAAAGGGCAGACCAGCTCGGCCCCGGGCGTCGTGGAGTCCAGGAGCTGCTGAAACCGAAGCTCTTGTGCCGCCTGCGGTCCTGGCCAGAGCGATCTCGGTCAGAACATTTTTGTTGTCGTTCTGCTTGCGGCACGTCCCAACGACTCGCTCTTTCGCGGTCCTGTCCATCTTCTACTTCTACCATCTTCTACCTACCTGAGCACGCTGCGATTTCATGCGCATTGCTTTGGAACGCTGTACGCGATCCGAGACCAAGCATGGACAGACCGTAAGTCACGTATGGGCTTTATGTTGGCTGGTGTCTCAATGATATGCTGGGATTCTTGACTGTAAGGCAATCGTAACAATTTGTCGTTTGTTTTGATTTCCCCTCCATTCAACAGATACTCTTCGCTCAGATTGGCGCAAAACTAATTTCCCGCTGAAATATGCCCTTTGATACGGACTAAAGACTAAATACCGAGAATTGCTTAGTGCTATTATTTCGCCGCATCGTCGTTTTTAGGAAATGAAATTCAAAAATTATTTGAGAAAGACAATAGATTGTGTTGGACGATAATAAACTAGATGTTTTTAGATCGAAATCTTCATATTCTCTAAACGATATGGTGAGACGAAAATAATTATCGATAGAACTTTTTAAAAACATGCTTTAAGATTTTAATTTTTTGTCTTATTGATAATTTTCTCTTATTGATTTGAATATTTTTTCTTTAATATCTGGTATAAAAAGATTTCTCTTAAACTTCTTTAGGAGTTTTAGATGAATTTGATTTAGGAAATTATATGATCTTCTATTGGCATATGAATTTCTCGAATTTTTAAAGAATTTTTGAAATATTTGCAAATATAGATTCGATTATTTGGAAATAGAAATAAAAGAAATAATACGAATTGGGAATTGAATACTTATCGACGATTCGAAGGGAGATTAGAAAGATGAATAAGAGAGAATAGAGAAGGAAGGAGCAAAGAAAATGAAATTCTAGAGATTTCAACATATATTATGTATTTAATTGAATTATAGAGAAATTAGTCGGTTTTAGGTATAGATATATTATATATATTGGATCGAAGGCTGTCAGTAAATATTCTTGAAATAGATATAATTGTTATGAATATGAGTAAGATGAATATTTGTTATATATTATTTTTTCTATGGATGACATAAGATATAGTATATTGAGAATTTTTTAAATATACTTGGATATATTTAGCATATATTATTTCTTATTTAGATGGAAGATTTCTTGATATTTAGAATGAATGAAAAAATATAAATGGTATTCGAAAGAATTATCGATATGATGAACTTTTGTCTTAGATATGATAAATATTATTTCTTAATATTAATTATCGATTGTTTTCGAATTTAAAGGATTCGGAAATGGCTTTGGGATATTTTCATATATTTTGTTATTAAATATTAAATTATATATTTTTCGAATTGATGATAAATATTTGTTCTAAATTTTTCTATAGATTATTGATTTTATAAATTCTTTTTTTGATTATGCGAATTATTTGAGAATTTTTCTATTGTGGTGGTAAATTTTCGAAGATAAATAATATATTCGAAATTTTTTGGAATTAATTCTAATGGGATATGTGCTATGATTTCTATCTAATTTTAATATGATTATATTAGAAAGAACATTTAACCGGTCATTGTCCCATAGAAATTAATAGACAAATAAGATGCAAAAAAATTATTAAGAATCTATTTGAATATTAATAATATACTTATTATGCGATATTAGAAAAATTGAAATAACAAAAAAAAGAATATATAATTTCGATAGATTACTAAATATAGGAAATAAAAAATTAAGACCGAAATTTCATTAATATGAACAATATATAAGTTGTTGCTAATTCAGAGTATCTTCAGATATGGAGGTGATATTAGATGAGAATTTTTATCGAAATTAGCCGAATACAGAAAAATATGTATATTTTGGATTGAGAATTACGATAATTAATTTATCTAAAGACTATATTCTGTGATATAAGATTAATATTATAATTTAGATTTATTAGAATCTAAACCAAATATATTGAATATATTTTATATATTAGATTTTAATATAGCCTTCGGGAATTCGATTTAATTCAGACATTAAGATTAAGAATCTCAGAAAAGAAAATTTTAATATAATAAAAATCACTACAATTTCCAGATTTAAAGACGACCTTAAGAAATCCAAATATTTTGAAAAAAAATGAAATATT